ATAGACAGACAGATAGACAGACAGATAGACAGACAGATAGACAGACAGATAGATAGATAGAAGGATAGAAATATAGATAGATAGGTTGATTGATTGATTAGATAGACTAGATAGGTTTGATTGATTAGATAGCTTAAATAGATAGACAGATAGATAGATAGATAGAAAGATAGGTAGATAGATGGATAGATAGATAGATAGATCGATCGATCGATAGATCGATAGATCGGTAGATGGATAGATGGATAGATGGATGGACGGATAGAGTGATAGATAGATAGATGGATAGGTGGATAGATAGATAGATAGATAGATAGATAGATAGATAGATAGATAGATAGATAGATAGATGGATACATAGATCGACCGGTGGATAGGTAGATAGGTAGATAGGTGGGTAGGTAGATAGGTTGATAGGTAGATAGATTGATAAGATAGATCAGAAAGATAAGATAGATAAGATAGATCAGAAAGATAAGATAGATAAGATAGATAAGTAAGCTGGATGGATGGATGGATGGATAGATAGGTAGACCAGGTAGACCAGGTAGACACACAGACAGACAGACAGACAGACAGACAGACAGACAGACAGACAGACAGACAGACAGACAGACAGACAGACAGACAGCCTCTACGCAGAGCAGTTTTACACAAAGTACCTTTTACACACAGAAGCCTTTACACAGAGCAGCTTTTACGCACAAATTCATTTAGACAGAGAAGCCTCTACACACAGAAACTTTTCAACAGACGAGCTTTTACACAACAGCCTTTTACACACACAAGTTTTTACACAGGGAAGCCTTTACACAGAGCAGTTTTGACACAGAAGCTTTTACGCAGGGAAGCCCTTACACAGAGCACCTTTCACACAAAGACGCTTTACAAACAGACGCTTTTACACAGAGCAGCTTTTACACACTGACACTTTTACACAGGGAAGCCTTTGCACAGAGCAGCTTTTGCACAGCCGTACCTACACAGAGTTGCCCCTTTACACACAGAAGCTTTTACACAGGGCAACTTTTGCACAGAAGCCTTTTACACACAGAAGCTTTTACGCACAGAGCACCTTTTACACACAGACGCTTTTACACACAGAAGCCTTTACACACATTGCCAAACCAATCTGAAACCAGTCTGAAACCAGCCTGAAACCAGTCTGAAACTAGTTTGAAACCAGTCTGCGAAACCCGCTTGAAACAATCAGAGTCAATTTGAAAACAGTCTGAAACCATTCGGAAACCAGTTTGAAACCAGTCTGGGACCAGATTGAAACCAATCTGAAACCTGTTTGAAACAATTTGAAACACTTTGAAACCGTTTGAAACCATTCAGAAACTAATCTGAAACCAGTGTGAAACCAATCTGAAACCAGTGTGAAACCAGTTTGAAACCTGTCTGAAACAATTATGAAATCAATCTAAACCAGTCTGAAACCAGTCGGAAACCAGTCTGAAACCAGCCTAAAACCAGACTGAGACCAGCTTGAAACAGTCTGAAACCAGTTTGAAACCAGTCAGAAACCAGCCTGAAACCAGCCGGAAACCAGTCGGAAACCAGTTTGAAACCAGTCGGAAACCAATCTGAACTAGTATGAAACCAGTCGGAAACTAGTTTGAAACCAGTTTGAAACCAGTCTGAAACCAATTTGAAACCAGTCTGAAACCAGTCTGAAACCAGTCTGCAGCATATCTGAAACCAGTTTGAAACCAGTCGGAAACCAATCTGAAAGCAGGTCGGAAACCAGTCGGAAACCAGTCGGAAACCAGACGGAAACCAGTCGGAAACCATTCGGAAACGAGTCGGAAACCAGTCGGAAACCAGTCGGAAACCAGGCAGAAACTAGCCTGAAACCATTCTGAAGCCAGTCTGAAACCAATTGAAACCTGTCTGAAACCAGTTTGATGCAAAACCAGTCTGAAACCAATTTGAAACCAATCTGAACCAGTTGGAAACCAGCCTGAAACCAGTCGGAAGCGAGTCGGAAATTATTCGGAAACCAGTCGGAAACCAATCGGAAACCAGTCGGAAACCAGTCGCCAGTCTGAAACCAGTCGGAAACCAGTCGGAAATTATTCGGAAACCAGTCGGAAACCAATCGGAAACCAGTCGGAAACCAGGCGGAAACCAGTCGCAAACCAGTCTGAACTTTCCAAAGACCATGGCCGGCGTGGGACATTTGAAGAGGATCTGCAAAGATGCATTTTGCGCGGCAGGCGCAGTGCAAGAGACATGTTCATCATCAGAGCTGTTAATTAGGAGGTCCGGGTTGCATTTTGGAGCATCAGATCTTCAGTTTTGGGAAGATGATTTTGCGTGACAGGTGCAGCACTTCGTATGACCTGGCATCACTTTTTCGTGGCAGGCGCAGTACTTTAGACAGGTGGAGTGGAAAAATCGCAAGACGCATTGGCACGAGGCCATCAGCTCTGCACTCAACTTTCCATTTTTGAAGAAAGTCTCGCAGAATTGTTTCGTTTTTGATGTTGTCAACTTCGAAAATTGAGGAAGTCTCGCAGAATTGTTTCGTTTTTGATGTTGTAAAGTTCAAAAAATTGAGGAAGTCTCGCAAAATTGCTGCGTTTTCAAGCTTGCAGATAGACAGATAGATAGATAGATAGACAGACAGATAGATAGATAGATAGACAACTGCAACTACAACTACAAGTACCACTACACTACTACTACTACTACTACTGCTACTACTACTACTACTGCTACTACTGCTACTACTGCTACTACTGCTACTACTGCTACTACTGCTACTACTGCTACTACTGCTACTACTGCTACTACTGCTACTACTGCTACTACTGCTACTACTACTACTACACCAACAACAACAACTACTACTACTACTACTACCACCACCACCACCAAAGCTACAGCTACAATTACAGCTACACGATATTGCGCTACAATACGCTAATTAAATTGCAGTACGTTACAGCTACAAATACAAATACAACTACAACTGCACTACATTACACAACACTACACTACACTACACTAATTACAGTGCATTACACTACATTACATTACCACTAGATTACATTACACTACAACTGCAACTACAACTACATTGCATTACACGACACTACGCTACAACTACAACTACACTACTTTACACCAGTACACAACACTACAGTACTCTACGATACACTACACTAATTACACCCTACCACACCACAACTAGAACTGCAACTGCAACTACACTACACTACACTACAATTACAACTACTCTTACAACTACAACTACAACTACAACTACAACTGCGCTACACCACACTACATCCAACAGTTGTGGTGAGGTGACCACTGCAACCATTGCAACCACTCCAAAAAACACAACTCCAACCACCTTTCGATTCATCAGTGGA